AAAGGCCCAGGGAGTTAATGACAAAGTCATTTGCTGTTAGGTGCTCTCAGGGGCACTGTGGGGTCCCTCAGCCTGGGGAAGGGCTCTGCTGGGAGGGCTGGAGGCAGGGCACAGAGGCGCTGCCTTTGTGAAGGATGAGAGTCTCGGTGTGCCTGATGTGGCTGAGGAACGCAGGTGTGGAGGGCAGAGGGGTTTTGGGGTATCTAAAGCTCATAGGGTGAGCCAGAAAAGACAGTGCTTGGCTTGCAGAGGCACGAGCTGGTAAAAAAAACACAGGTGAGTGCAGGTTTAATTCTCCTCGTTTCCTCAGAATGGCATCCAACTCTGTTTTCCCAGGGCAAACACTGGTGCTTTAATGACTTTGCCCCCATTCCTGGGATTCCTGCAGCCTGAGCAGGTGAGTTACCCCGGGATTCACTTCCCTGCTTTACGCCGGGAAGGAAGGCAGCACGCGATCTGTCCCATTGTCTCATCCCATTTTTTTTCTCTCCGCATCTTAAATCCCTGTTTTAATCTGCTCGGGTCAGGACGAGGACACAGCTGGTGCCCTCTCTGTTGCCCTTTTCCCATCCTCGTGCCGACCTGAGCCCGTGCCGGGGTCCCCTGCCGCCAGCTGCCACGTCACACGGGGAGCTGCCGTCCCTGGGGTCCCAACAAAAGCTGCAGTCGCAACTCGAGATGAGACAAATGCAATTTGAAATACAGCACAGTTCGTTTCTTCTCAAAAAAAAACCGTGCAAATCTCATTTCCCACCCATAATGGGTAGATCTGGGCTGCGGGGAGGAAGGACGGGATTTTCTGCAGTGGCAGAACCTGGCAGCCTGCTGTCAGGTGCAGATCTCCTGCTCCGTGAGGACTCTGGCTCCTGAGGGCAGAGAAAATATTCCCTTTCCTTCTCTTCTTCTTGCTGCTGCTGTCTCTGCCTCCCCTTTTTCCTGCAAGCTCTCTGCCTTCACCTCGGGTCCCTGCTTTAAGCAGCTTGTCTGGTGGCTGGGCACGTCGGCGTGCTCCTGTTTTCTCAGGTATCCGTCGGGCTCTCCAGAACAGCACACGAAGTGTACGTGCTGCCAAATGAAAGCTGGGACTTGATTGAAGCTGGAATTTGTCAGAAATTGATTTTAAACCACGCTTTCCTCTGGCAAGCAGCTTTGTGCAGCCCTTTGGCCTTTCTGGCCATGAGGTCTGGGCGCTGGCAGCAGTGGGATGTGCGGATGGGGCGGGTTGGGGGTGTTTAAAAAGACACCTAAATCCCACCGGTACTTCTCACAGAGGGGCTGGGTGAGCGGTCCGGCCTTGAAATAATTTAATTTGGCTCTTGACTTCCCAATACCAGAGCAGGGTGTGGAGGGCAGCCGGAGCTCCCTGCTGGAGGGCGTCCCCCAGTCCCGGGCAGCCGAAGCCCCACCGAAACCAGCCAGGGGTATTTCTGAATTGCAGAGTGCAGGTAAACAAATAAGCAAATAGAGCTGGAAGTGGAACGAATGCTGCATGAACGTGATGCAGACTTAGTGTCTCCTTTTCTTTAAGGTGCTAATCTCTGCTGTTTTCATTTAAATCACTCCTCCTGCACAGGAGCAGCTGAGAAAGGGCTGGAGCTGCTAAGCCAGGTCCTGTGCGCCTGTGCCTTCGGTCTGCAGCTTTCGGACCTGCTGGCATGGACTGGAGAGGTTTCTGTGAGGAGCAGGGAGTTCTACCAAAGCACCCAAACCCTTCACCCTCTGCTCTCTGGCAAGGGGAGAAGGAACCTCTATAAAACGTGAGTGCACGGAGAGATTCAGCTGGGTGTCTTGTGGCCACTGGTGAATTCCCGCGGGCGCAGGGCCGTGTGCTGCCCAGCTGGAAGCCGCAGGCCTTCAGGGAGCTAACTCCTCCTGCAGCAGCTCTCTCTGCCTCTGTGGCCCTGGAGCAGCACTGCTTCGTTTTGCAGCTTTTCCATGTTGTGCCTGTTGGTTAAGTTGGCTCGCGCCGCGTTGTGCCGAGAAGTGTTTAGAACGGTTTTCATGAGGAGCATCGAAAGTTGCGAGTCTGTGGCTGGTGCCCTGGCTGCTCTGCGTAAATCACTCGCTGGTAAATGTAGTTAAATGAGGAGCTGAGGCAGTCTTGCTAGCTGAGTAATAAATCAGGGCCGAGCAACTCCATAAAGCTACATCTTAGTGCCTTGGCTTGAGGTTGCAGGGTGGGGTGCCGAAACTGATGGAGCAGCGCGATGTTGCTAAACAGAATGTGCTAGCCCTTAGTTACACTGCCACAGAGGATATAAATGATGCTGCAGATGTAACTGAAGTGCTGAAAACTCTTTTTGCTGGCGTGGCTTGCCGTGCTCCACGTGTCCACCTAATATCAGCTGCTCCCGCTTTATGTCCCTCCGGCAGCAGCAGGATTTGTGCCTGGCGGTCAGGCTCCTGGCGTGGAGGGGACTCGAGCTTTGCCTTCCAGCCCTCGCCTGCTGCTGTGACCTCAGCCTGTGGGAGATTACGTTGCTTAAAAAACACCCCCCAAGGACCCTCTCGAAATATTTCATTATCTGAGGAATTCCGTGGAATACCCAGAAGTTGATGATAAACCCCTGGAATGTGGCCGCCTGTCCGTCAGCCCATTCAGCAAAACGATGTTTTGGTGAATATGAAACCTCAGCGAGGTTCTCTCTTCTCAGGAGGGGTTTTGGTGCCTGCAGACCGGGGGGCTTTGTTCCTCCTGCTAGGATAGGCAGGCGTGCTCCTTCGCCCGTGCAAGCTGCCCGCTCCCAGGTGCTCCCGTGTGCTTGGGTGCCTGCCTCGGTGCCATTAGCAAAGCCTGGTGGCTGCTGTGCCCACGTGTCCTGGGGAAGCCTGACTGCACTTCGTGGTGCACAGGGCTGTTCTGGTGATGTACAGTAATAATGATAATTAAACCCCACTCTGCTGTGTCACTGCATGGCCAAAATGTGCACCAGGATCTCGGCAGCCAGCCTGCTGCAAGCCCCCAGACCCGGCTCAGGGGTGCCACCAGGGCTGAAGCCTCAGGAAGCCAAGGAAGATTTTGCAGCCCTGCCCTGCCCGTCTCCCTCATCCCACTAACAGCTTCTGCTGGCTAATTTGGCCTTTGTACTTTTTGGTATAAAAGAGCAGGGTGGCCAGGAGGAAGGGCGAGTGTCCTTGGCTAGAAGGATGCGCCTAAGCTGACCTCTCACTCCTCTCCGTGTCTCTCCCCGCGTGTAACTTGGTCAGAGGGCTGAGCCAGGAGAAGCTGCAGTGAGATTTCTTGCCTCGCTGGACAAGAGAGCTTAGCCCCCGGGGCCTTTCTCTTTTCCATGTAGACTCTTTAGTACTTAATAAGAGAAAACGTCCAGTGGAAGCTTCATCTCTGATTAGGATATTCATCGCTTCTCTTCCGTGTTGATTCTCTGAAGCCTCATAAGGGGGGTTGCTCAGCCTTTAATTCAATTAAGAAATCAGGCAAGAGATGCAAATCTTTTTAGCCTCATTTGTTTTGGCGCTCATAACTCCATCTGAGGGGAGCATCTCCTGCAAAGCGCAGCAGAGCAGCTTAGGAAGGGATTTTTCTGGGTTTCAGCTGAGATTTTTCAAGCGCTGTTGGGGGCTTGTGAAGGGTTTTGTCCTTTTTGGAGCATGGGGTGGAAGGAATGATGGTGCGTTGGTGTAAACTGACTTCACAAAGAGCATCCTAGATAAAAATCTGCACCCCTCATAACTGGTAACCTCTATTAAAGGTCGTTAGCTGCTGTGAATTAGATCCAAAACAACTGGTGGATGGTGAAGGACACCGAGAGACAGGACACACCGTGGTGACTGTCACACCAGCTGCTCTCCTGCGTTTCCTTTGGTGCTAGCTGGGAAAAAATCAGCCCAGTGAGAAATGCACTCTCATAATCTAATGCCTTGAAGTCCTTGCGTTTAGCGAGCATCCTGCTGGGGTGTGCCTTCTGCCTGGGTCAGGCACCTCCAGTGTGCTTCCCGACTGTAGCTCCCAGAGCATCCTCTGAACGCTTCCTCAGACAGCCCCTGAAACTAAGTTTAGTTTGCCAGAAATGGTTTGTGCCTTGGGTGGGGATGGCTGGGGGACAGCCTCAGGAAGGGAAGGGCAGCCTGGGCTCGTTGGATTGCCCTCGAGGACTTGTCTTTTGGTTACAAAACCCAGATCAGTTTTAAAAGAAAAATCAGCTTTCACCTCTAAACTAGTTGGAGGCCTACATAAGCCATTTCTAGAGAGCCCTGAGTTACACCTGAGTGGAAATAACCTCCTGTGCCGTGCTCCAACCCCAGCTCCTCCCAGCAATTGGCACCCCCGGGATCCCAGGCGCGGTGCCACGAGGAGCAGGCTGCTGCCCGGAGCGGTGGCTCTGGCACCGGCCTGATGCAAACTGCTCTGGTGTCCCAGGGCACGGCTTTGATCCCAGCTCCTCCGGCTGCTTCTCCTGCCCGGGCTCTGCCTCCTGCCCCTGCGGGATGGTTTCTGCTGAAATGCCCCCTGTAGCGCCGCTGCCTTGGTTCAGTTTGCTGAATTTGCTTGGAGTTACGGAGCTCTCCTTACAGAAGAGAAATCCGGAGTGAAAATCCTTGCTTTATCTTGCTGTCTTGAGTTCTTCCTTTTTTTTTTCTTTACCAAATCTTGGAATCGGATAAAGCATTCATATGCATGTATGTATACATGCCTGTCGTGCTTCTCTTCAAAATATGCATTTTTATGGCTTTTGTGCATAAAGAGCTCTTAACCCCAAACTTTTTTTTTTTTTTTAACTTCTGTGGTTTAGTTTCCTGTGGATTTTGGTACTAGCTTTCACTTGCATTCCCTTAAACACACAATATTGGGATTTTTATACTCTTTAGCTCCTTCCAGGCCAAATCAGGAGGTACTCGTACACTCCTGAGGGGCTGGCTGCACAGTGGAAACCCGAGTAAAGTCAAAGACGGGTTAAACCGAATGCCCTTAAGAAAGAGCGGCCCTTTGCTCTGCCCTGTTACAGCTGTATATTTAGCCCGTGTGCCCTTTCCAATTACAGCAGGAGAAGATACCCAGAGAGGAATGCAAGTCGTCCTCGCCCCGAGTGCTGTCCTGGTGTCTGTCACGAAGTGCTTCTTGAGCCAGCAGCGGTGCCTCGGTAACGCTCCCCTCCATAGAGCTGTCCCCTCCCTCCCTTCTTCCTAACCCACGTGGGATTTAGCATTCACCACGGTCACAGCTTCCCAAGCTGCTGGCGAGGGCACAGTGAGTGCCATCAAGCCTGGTTCGGGTCTGGCCCCTTGCTCCCAGCCCTGGTTCCCCCCGGGCAATGCGGTTGTTCCTCGTGCGGGATCCATCCCGTACCTCTGGTGATCCCCGGTGCCCTTCTCCTGAGGTCGGGAGCGGTGCTTAATGCGGGGGCAGCGCAGTGGAGCTGTCCTCGGGTGGTATTCGGAGCTCCCTCCTTCTACTTGTTGCTGGATGTTTTTCTCCTAATTTGTCTGTGCGCTGCCAGCAGCCAGGAAAATGGCACTTCTGACTGCAGCGTTCCTAAGCGCAGGGGAAAAATGATCTCGGAGGCCTCCGAAATATTTGGGCAGATAATATCTGAGCTTCCTTTTAACTGAACGCACTTGGAGATACGATCTGAGTTGTCTGTCTGGGAATAACGAAGTGGGAGGAAGGCATCGGCTGGGGCTGCTCAAGCTCCCAGCAGAGTAAGGAGTCTCGCCCAGCTGAAATCTGCTGCTGGTCACTGCTGTGGGTCTGGTGTGGCAGCAGGTGGTGTGGGCGCTCCCTGGCTTCGAGGCACTGCTTAAACACATGACAGGCAGCACACGTGGGCTTTCAGGGGCCCCGTGAGCGGGGTTTAAAGGCTGGGAGGTGTCCACGGGATCTTGTGGCGAGGTCAGGTCCGTGTGCGTGGTTCCTTCCCGGTGGCACAGGTCTGCTATCAAACAGAAGGTAATGACAGGCAGCAGGAAGCCTTCCTCTTAGCTACGGGGAAGTTAAACGTCTCGGCGCTTACTCTAGCAGAATAAGAACTGCTTTGAGGTGTCAGTCGCTGTGTCTGCCTGCCCTGCGAGCTTTCGGAAGCTGGTGGTGGCACGTGTGACTCGAGGCAGCGAGCTAGTGACAGTTTGCAGGCAGTTCCTGTGGTTTTGTTCTGCTCAGGTCACAGCCATGCAGGACAGCTGCTATTTCAGCTCTGAGCCCAAAACGTGCAGACAAACTTATCTTTTGGAGAGGTGTCTGCTCTCAGCATGCAGCCGCCCTCCTGCAGGTGTCTGGTCAGCTCTGCCTGGCTTCGTTGTGGCTTCGTGGGACACCGAGGGTGATGTCCTGTCCCCTGCTGCCTTGCCCCAGCTGTTGGCTCCTCCTGTGCATGGCAGATGTCCCCGAGCAGCTGCCTTCCTGCGTATCCCCTCCCGTAACTCACCCTGGGCGCAGCGCTGGCTGAAGCTGGCAAAGCCCGGGTCACATTCTGCAAGCGTAAGCATAAACGTGGCCCTGAGCCGCTCAGTCCTGTGGTGCTGCCCCCGTGGCCCTCCTGCCCCCTCCCCAAACCCCTCCTCGGCTCCGCCAGCAGCAGCCCCCAGCACCTGCTGTGCGCACACCCAGCCCCATGCCCTCTCGTGGGTCTGGCCGGTGGCTCCGGGTTTCATCATCCCCCTGCTCGCTGCCTCGACACGCAGCCCCGCGGCCGCCGATGGGGCTTGCCCGGAGATCCTCCTGTGGAAACATGCAGGAGAGATCTGTGCAAAGACAAGAGCTCGGGCTTGGGGAGGTGCTCCGGGCTCCCTTCAGTCGGGTCTGAGTTCCTCTCCTGAGAGAGGGGCAGCTCGGCCGGCGCTGCCCGTGCCGGGGATGCTGTTAAATAAGCAGCTGAGGTAAGTGGGATTCCTCCTCGCTCTCCTAAATACCTTCTGCTCTGGAGCAGAGCATGGCAAGGCAGCTACCCGGGCTGTCTGTGTGCTGGGCTCAGCGGCACTGAGCTGCTGGCAGTGATTAATGGCACAGCCCCCATGCGACCACGTACGTGGGCACTCGGATCAGACGCCGCTGGACTGGGACTTGCTTGCACTGGCTCGTGCTGGAGCAGGGGGATAACTGGCCACAAAGACGAGTGATTGCCAGGGCGCTGACCCCGGCTCCACAGCAGGCAGAAGGCGAGGTCCCCGAGGTGCGTGGCTGCTCTGCCCTGCTCTCGCTCCTCCTCTCAGCCCGACCCCCTGTCTGCTCGCTTCTGCGTGCCTGAGTGATGAAGTAGTGCGTGTCCTCGGCACGCCGGTGGGCCTCGGAGGTGCCTGGAGAAGGAGCAAGCTCCGGCGTTGTCTTGACAAGTCAGCATCATATCAAGCGTGCTATCGGATCAACAGCACGGAGCAGGCCCGGCTCTGCGCCTGGGCCGGGGATTTGGCAGCGGGGCTCAGGCACCAGGGGATGCTGGCACGTGCGCCAGGCTGGGGCAGATGTTGGTGCTGACTTTGATGTTCGATCCAACGTTTTGGAGGTTCAAAGTTGAGACCGAAAGAGCTCTCACAGGAGCAGGAGGATAAAGAGAAACTCGGTTCTTTCAGAAGATCAGACAGAACTAAACATCCTGAAATTCAGGACTAACCTGAACCTTTGTGTTCTGCGAAACTGGGCAGCACAGATCCTGCTGGGAGAGGGAGCGCTGGGCCGCGCGGAGGAGCTGGGGTGGGCTCACCTTCCCCTGTATGCTGACAGGGAGCCCGACAGCCTGAGGCTTTCCGTAGATCAGCAGCAGAGACCACTGCAGAGCGCTATCTGTGTGTGATTTTTGGCCTTTGAGCTTGGGTGAAATGGAAACCTCTGCTGAGCGCTGGCATTTCTGATCTCCAAGAGCTCCAGCTCTATTCACTCTCTGGAAGGTGATCCCAAGGGCCGACTTTTTCCACCTATGACAGAGATATCTCAAACAAGTGAGTCTGCCCAGGGTAGTACCGTGTGGAAGGGTTTGGGCTCTTGAACTTCCCAGAGGTGCCACGTGGGTCCCCACCAGTCCTTGTCCTGGTCTCATGGAGCATTTGCTCCGTGTTCTGTGCTTGCATCTGGACTCACAGCTCTCAGGGCTGCCGGGCTGGTTGAGCAGAGTGCCAGCTGCTGGACACGAGCCTTGTGTCACAGGAGTCATCCTGTCCTGAAGCAGTGTTCCCTGCAGACCTCAGTGCTGTGGCTGGGTGCCTTGTCCTGGCTCTCAGGGCCTGCCCTGCGCTGCCTCCCAGCCCCAGCCCGCACAGTGAGCCTGGCACCGCTCCTGTTCTGCTGGTGGTGGGGTGAGGTGGAGCTGTGGGGGTGAGAGGCTCTCCTGCTGGTGTAATTTTGTCTTGGTTCTCCTGGTTTTTCTTTCAAGAGTGGCTACTGAATTCCTCCCGTAGCTCCTTTGCGCTTTGCTTCTGCCTCCTGTGACTGTTCTTCTGTAGGTTCCTAAAATGAAACCCGCTCTGTGCGACCTGCAAGTGTCAGGCTAAATCTTCACGGCCAGTGCCCGAATTGCTTGGCCGAGGGGCGCGGATCAGCCAGGCAGCGCTTGTTGCCTGCTCCAATAATTCTTTCTGCAGCGGGGCGATGACTTCATTTTCCTCTCCTGCTTGCCACAGATATCACAGCCGGCTCCTTTCTGCCCAAACACTCCTACCCATGCAGCAGAAGCGCCCTGGGGCAGATCACGTCACTTGGCTGAACAACACAGGGCTGCGCCGTGCTCGCGCGCGGTTCCGCCGTGGCCACGGTGCGCCAGGGGCTGGCACTGCCCTGGGGACGTGGTGCCAAACCTCTCCAGGTGCCTCCACAGCCCCGTGTGGCTGCACGCCGGGTGTCTGGCTCTCTGCTGGCACACGGCGTTTCTCCTCTGCTCGGGAGCGGAGGCTTCGCGTGGCCGTGCGGGGCAGCGACGTTTGCGCGCTGATAGCATCTCGGCTCCGCAGCAGCCACATTCTTCAGCCACCGCTGCCGCCTTCCTCCCCTGGCCGTGAGCCTTCGGTCCTGCCCGTACTTGCTGCACGGGCTGCTTTTAGTCCCTCCCCAGCAGGATTTTCCAACGAGCAGGCTGCAGGAGAGGTGTAGCCCACAGACAAGGTGCCGCTGTTGTGGTGCCCATAGCCTAGGCTCTGAGGAAGCAAAGGGCAGGTCCTCTTTGTGCTCTTTTTCGGGTGTTGTGCAGGAGGAGGCCGTGCTGCCGTGATGTTCTCCTCCAACACTTTTAGGTTTGGGTACGGAGGAGACTTAATCCTGACAGGCTTCAGGGATGAGGCACTCTGAGGCAGCCTCGGAGCCCGAGGACTTGCTGCTGTCCAGAATAGCACAAGCTCTGCGTCACCCTCGGAGCCCCGCAGAGGATCAGTGGTGCCTTGCAGCTTAGTTCCTTAGCTGCTTGGGTCTGCAGCCTGCCAAATGGGAGCTTTACCCACTAGGGCAGCTCGCAACCCTGTTCACACGCCCTTGCAAGAGGCAAACTCGGAGACACGGGCTCTGCAGGCTGCGAGCCACGGGGGTTTGCCCTTTGTGGTCAGGATTGGGGACTGGGTTTGCTCTAGGAGGACAGAGCTGCCTCCCTTAGCCCAGAGGGAAAGGGGTGGTTGAAGATGTGTGAGTGCCTGGCCCCGGGGAGCCAAGGCCCTTGTGCTCTCTGGTGCTAAGCGTGCGTGGCTTGCTTGGGTCTGGCTTTGGGGTGGGTGTTGCTGACCCCAAAAACGAAGCTTGAACGTCCTGCCTAATACCAAAGTCTGGACCTGAGAGCAGGCCTGGCTGGAAAACTGAGGGCATGGGTCAGAGCCCCATGGCTACCCCGTGGCTACCTCAGGGTGCTGCGGCTCCAGGAGCAGCAGGGCTGTGTGTATGGAAAAGCAGAAGGACCTTATTTATTTCTCCAGAGATGCTGTATGTAGAAAAAGAGCTGGGAAGCTCCTGCTGCCTTCACTGGTTGCAGTAGCTCGTGCAAATAAATCCCAAAGCTGAAACGAAGAGGGTGGTGAGGCAGGGAGCCCTCTGCCCACCACGAGGAGGTCTGCGTGGATCAGCTGCCTGCCTCGGCTCTCCTAATTACCGTGCTGATTTGCTTTCCTTTCTTTAACCAGGTTCCCAGGATCCCTAGGATGAGGCTGCTGTGAAGGAGGGGCAGACCCTGCCTGCGCTGCCGCTGCCGTGCCTGCAGAGCCCCGCGGCCCCTCCTGGCTGAGCGCCGTGCCCAGAGCCGCCGGGCACAATGACTGTCGGATGCGTGCTGCAGCCCCCTGTCCTGGGGAGGACTTTGCTCCCCGTGCTGCTGCTGGCGGCCTCGGCTCACTGCCACTGGCCCAGCGAGCCGGCAGAAGTGGTGCGGGACTGGGAAAACCAGCTGGAGGCCTCCATGCACTCGGTGCTCTCGGACCTCCGAGAGACTGTGCCGGCCGTGGTGGGCATACCCGACAGCTCCGCCGTGGTGGGCCGCTTCTTCAGAGTCTCCATCCCCACAGATTTAATTGCTTCCAATGGAGAGGTGGTCCAGGTGAGAAATGGCGTTCCCCAAGGCTCGTTTTCAGTTCTGTTCTTGCAGGAGTCGCGCTAATCACCCCACCAACAGGGGGGTCACAGGCACTGCTGTGAGAAAGAAGTATCGCTTTTTTTTTAATCATTTTTCTTACCTCATTGTAAAGTTTCTTTCCTCTACAGTAAGGCAGAGAGGAGACACCTCTCCTCGGGGACAACTGCTCAGGTTTGGTGGCTGTGTTAAATGGTGCAGTTCTCAGCCCTTGGGATGATGGGCACGTCCCTGAGATGTTGCCTCGGGATCAGGGCAGCCACGAATTCCCTGGGACTGCCCTGACGCTCGGGGAGCTTGCTGTGCTATGGTAACAAAATATTGTGAGACAAATAGACCGTGTGCTGCGAGCAGGGCTCTGCACTGTGTTCGCCACGGTCCCTCCTGACCTTGTCCCTAGGTCCTCCTGGGAAAGACAAGAGCCTTTCTTTTTATCTGACTTGCCCTCAAGGTTCTGGCACCGCAGGCACCCAAAAACTGAGCTCTGGAAGCAGTCCTGAGGGCAAGGAAGTGTCAGAATAGCCCGGAGGAAGACAGACATGCTGCCAAGCACACGTTCATTGATCTTTAGCCCTTTTCTGGAAGGGTGCTGAGAAGTTGTCGTCTCAGCCTCTGCCTGCTTGGGTGGAGAGTTCAGAAGACTCCATGTTTTGAAAAGAAAACTGAAAATCACCTTCCAGTCCTAGACGTATTTTTTTCAGGGAGCAGACTTGAAAAATATTTTTAAAAATCCATTTTTGGGCAATGCTATAAAAAGCCAACCTTCTGGTGGTGCGTCTCAGCAGATCAGAGGGAGATGGAGAGAGCGAGTCGGGAGGCAGCCTGACATGCTGGCTGCTCCTTGCAGGCAGCTTTGTTTGAGCTCTGCGTGCTGTCGCGCAGTCGTCTCCATCCAGATCTGTCATCTCGCCGTCTGCAGCGACGGCGCCAGGACCACGATGTGCCGGTGGTAGGCAGAAAATCAGCAGAAAGCACCCGAAAGGGAGTCAGATCCTGGGAAAGGGGGAGGTGGGGGGAGAGCCCTGGGAGCAGAGGAGATGGAGGTGGGACGGGCTGGTCGCAGAGCAGAGGCTGGGATGTTTCACGGAGGGGTGCGTGGCTGCTTTTGGAGAGCAGAGTGCCCTTTGGTGGCACGCTGCGTGCCAGGCAGCTGCTCTGGAGGGAGCAGACTCCTGAACATGAATCTTTAGGAGCAAGAGAGGGGCTCAGGGCTGCTCTGTCCTTGAGCCTACGCCCACTGCCAGGACTTCTGAGGGAGCTGTCGAGGTAACGTGCTCCAGAAATGAGAACTTTGGTTTGGAGTTCAGTATCCGTGGCTTGTTTCGGTGTTGTCTAATGGCTACTTTGACAGCAAGAAGGCATTTTCAGTGCTTGCTTAAACACCACAGCTTCCTCTGCCTCCTTCTCCCGGCACAGCAGTTGTCTTTGATAGTTCCAGCAGCTGCAGGAGAGCTCCGTGGTACGTTACGTCAACCCCACAGCTTCAGACAATGCTTCCAGCACCGCGCTGCCGAGGCGTTTGCTAACAGCAACAGGTGCCTGAGGAGCAGCATGGGCTGTGCCCAAGCAGGGCCGGAGGAGCAGTTGTTGGCTGGGTGCAGTTCAGCAAAGGCTGGGAGCGATTTCCACGCTTGTACGTGGGATTGCCTGAATACACGTCGCATCTGCCCGCCTGGAAATTGATTTTAGAAGTGAGGCAGGCTCTAGGGCAGCGGTGCTGGCCTCGTCTAGCTGGTGCATCTGGAAGGTGCAGCAAAAGCTGCGTTGGCTGCCAAGCATCGCCGACCTTTCCCTTGGGGATTTGACTCCTGGCTACTGAGAGCTGCGTAGGCAATTCTGGAGCACGGGGTGCCTTTTGTGTTCTACCATCAAGCTTCAGGGCAAGCTGCTCGGCTCCCTTTCTCAGGCTGCCTTGTATTTTTCAGCCAGACCGGTAAAAAGATAACGCATCTGGATCTAGGGGAGGTGCACTTGCCAATACTCAGTCCCTTTACATTTCTAAGAAATTTTAAATGAGATACACAAAGAAAAAAGCTGACAGTCCCCAAACTTCCAGGAGCTCCCCATCTGGAGCCCAAAGGTGTGACTGCTTCGTCTCTCGGTCATCCCTGCTGATGATCGCTCCATACCATGGCGGGGAGTGCCTTGAAGCTGCTTCTCAGATCCTCTCCCTGCTCGTTAGCAGATTCCAGCCGACCCGTCCCGTAGACAAAATAGTTTTCTCTGCAAACTTGCTTGTGGGATGGAAACAATGCCAGGCATTCGCAGCGCTGCGGAGGAGTGCCTCGGAGGAGTGCCTCGCAGGGCGCGCTCCTGCACAGATGTGTGGGCTCTGTGCAGTCAGGTACGTGCTCCTGGGAGCAGCCCTGTGCTTCCCTGCCACCCCCAGCCTGCTGAGGACAGGCGAGGTTTTATGGCGAGGCACAAAAGCAAGCTCATCCCAGTGCGCTCCGCAGCTCGGCAAAATGCAAAGGTGGACACGTAGGGAAATGGGGAGGAAAAAAAAAAAAAAAAGGCCCAACCTGCTAACTAGTTTGGGAGTTACTGAATTTCAGAGCCAGCTGCCAGCACGGCTTTGTGGTGCTGGAAGGAGAAACCACCAGTGCCTGGGTGTGAGGGGTGCTGCCCAATGCCTCACGCCCCCGAGTGCTGCCTGCAGCCCCCTGGGTCTTCCAGCTCCTGATTTTGGCTGTGCCCTGCAGTGAGGCTGCTGCCCGGTGTCAGGAGGCATCCTGGATCCCCATATCCCGTCCCTACAAAGGCTCTGCAGGGCCTGACCTGCTGCACCCCGCAGCTGTGCTGAGCTGTGTGCCCTTGCTGCAGGGTTCATCGCACCCGGACCTAAACCCAGCCGGATTTCCTGTTCCTCTTGCTTCCATTTGAAGGCTGTTCCAGAATTTGGTTGTTCCGATTAAAAATGCAGCTTCTAAGCCTAAATTTAGAGATGGCTAGAAATATTTAGACGAGCTGCCCTTTAGCTCAAATCTCTCTCCACCTTCATAATATTTACTTCCCTTATGTATTTATAAGTGACAGGCATATTCCCGTCTTGATTTTATTAGGTTAAACAAGCCAATCTCTTTAGTCTTTCCCCATAAAATAAGCTTTTTTTCCCCTCTCCTCATCCTTGCAGCTGTCTTCTGCACCTCTTCCAGCTTGAGTTTATTTTTCTTGTGGTTGCGTGACCGGCGCTATACAAAATACCCCAGGTGAAATTTTACCAGAGCCTTGTGTAAAGGCATCAAAACTTCCTTTTCTTTGCTGTAAATAACCTGTCCTATAATTGTGTGCTTTTCCACGTCTGCCTTACTTCAGCTCGGACATCTCATGATCAGCTGAAGCACCCAAGTCTGTAGGTTTTTTCCACTTCCAGTGCGGGAGATATCCCAGAAGAGTGCAGTAGGCAAGGGAGGCAGGCTCTGACTTGGCGTTGCTGATCCTGGTCTCTCTCAGGTCTGACACTCCACTTTTTGTCCCGTTTTTCCTGCATGGAAATCTAAGCCTCCCATCGCTCAGTGACGATACAGAGAGTCAAGGCGAGGTGAGCAGCACCTTTGCAGAGTTGGGGACTGGCTCTTTGAGCAAACAACATCCCACTGCTCCCGTTGCCCCCAGGATGATTCCCACCCAGAGCAGGAACACCGACACCAGGCTTGGCCCACCAAACAAAAGCCATACCAAGGAGGGCATTCATGTGATGACCGCCTCCACCCCGGCTTCCAGGAGTTGATCTGGCTGGAGTGGGAACTGTTGTTGAAAGCATCTGACATCGCCACGTCTGGGAGAGGCTTTCTGATGCCGAGCTGGGAGCCAGAGGCAGCATTTCTGACATCTGGGCTCCGTGTGCCTCCCCAGAAGCACCTAAAATCCGACAGTTCGGGAACTCCTCATCCCCTGTGCATCCCTAACAGCGGTCAGCAGGCCCAGCAGGGAGCACACACTGTGTGAGCAGCGTGCTGCACCTTCTCCTGGGGAAGCAAAGATGCCGCCTGGCCCTCTCCTGGCAGTCCAGGGGTGTCGTGGCCCATGGGCACGTGTCACCTTTGTGAAACGCCTTGCGTGAGTGGCTCCAAGGCAGAATGGAAGGGAAGGAGGCTGCAGGGAGGGCAGGGGGCTGTTGCATCCCGTTAGCACCTGCCCACCCTAAATACTCCCTAATATTCCTCTAAATACTCCCTAAGATGTAATACTCCTAATATAATACTCCCTAATGGCTTTTTGAGGGTGGTTCTGTTTGCCGTCTGTTGGAGTGGCGTTTGTCGAACTGCTTTACTCGTCAGACTGCAGGGGCCTTCTTTTATGGACAGGATCCGTGGAGCTGGAGTCGCAGGAGCCCTAACGCTGAGATGTGCTGTGCGCGATGCCAGCCCCTGCTCCAAGGCGGCGACCTGGGCAAGGGGCCAGGCGTCAGAAGCCAGCCTTGAAATACCAGGGCACGCGGAGTTTTATGGAGGAGAAGCACAAAATACTGTTTTGTTTTGTTTTTTCTCCTGCAGTGTTCCTTATTTCAAAGATTTTTAACTGCATGTGAATTTTAGCACTGGTATTTCTCCAAGAGTGGGGCATAAGCAAACAGTCCCGAGGGGCCAAGCTGGGCATCCTAAAAGGCTCCGTGCGCTGAGCTGGTTGGGCTTCGTCTCGCTCCCAGGGTCCTCGGTTTTCTTAGACTTTGCCCAACTAAAAGGCACAGCACCAGCAGCTATTTACAGGGAGTGTGCTGGGAGAAATGGCAGCGTCTGGAACAGGTCCAGGCAAAGGGCTTCTTGGGCAAGGCTGTGCTCTGCCACGGTGCTGCAAGCGGGGAGATAAGATGAGCTGATAAGATCTCTGTTGGGGGGCTGAGGGGGCTGCTTATCTTTTTCCTGCAGCAAAACAAAGTCGGGGAATTTGGCATTTTCAGCGCACGCTTAGTAACGAGCTCTGAATTTGGAGGAGTGGAAAAAGTGACTCAATCTAATTATAACCCAGCTTTGCAGCCGGGCCGGGAAGTTCCTTGTTTTGTCCTGCTCTTACGGGCTGCTGCCCTGAGCATCCGGGGAGACTGAAATGAGACAGTGGAGTCCTGTGAACGGGCTGACCTGAGATCTCTGGATGGGGCTCGCCGTTCCTCGCCACTGTCCCAGATGCCAGATTTCCAGTAATCTGCTGACCGCAGGGAGAAATTGCAGGGCTGTGCGGCCGCAGCGCTAAACCCCCGGTGCTTGGCATCCCCGCCGTGTGGTATTTTCGCTTCCCTTTGGCCTTTCGCTCACAAAAAGCCGTGCAGAAAGGAGAGACCGACTCAACTTTTCTTTTTGGGCCGTTTGAGGCTTTTTCCTGCCCCGCTCGCCCCCTGCCCGGGCGAGGAAGCGGGGCGTGGGCAGCTGCGCCTGCGGGCTCTGACAATGAGGCTAAACAAACCCTTCCAAGCCGGCCGCGCGAGCCGATGAAAGGGGCATTTCTTGGGACACTCAATGTTTTGTCGTGACCTCCCGGTGAAACAGCTGTTGTGTTCCCTCGCCCAGGCAGAGTGGGCCTCTGAATAGTGCCCTTTCAGCCAGCGCGGAGGCGCAGCTGGAAGAGAAGCCGGCAGGGTGGGAGGATGCGAGAATGGCACGAGCTGGGCGTAGCTGCCCCAGCGCGAGGCCATTTTGCCCATGGGAAGGAGCTGGCGGAGCGAAGCACGGCCAAACACACATCCACAAAGAGAGGGAGGGAGGGAGGGAGCAGCTTCCCGGGCAGGGTCTTTGCCTGCCCCGTGCTGGGAACGCCGGGTGAGCGGCCAGGTTGTCACCGGCACACACAGGTCAGCGCAGCGCTGCCTTCTGGGTCCCTAGGGACCGAGGCTCGAGCTCCAAAAGGCCAGGACCCGTGGTATATCCTCCGCCACCACCTCGCTGTCCCGTAGCTTTCCCAGCCAAAAGGTTTGTTTTTTTTGGGGGCAGCAGCTCCAATCCCCCAGTGACGTCCAGGAGCTGAAGGCTGCAAGAGGAGCCCACCTGCCTGGCACCGCTGCTTTTTGCCAGGCGAGCCCCACGATGCCCAGCTTGTATTTCTGCATTTCAGGAAAGCTGTGGGGCTGAGGCTGCCTGTTGCTCCTGCTGACAAAGCTGCCCCTAGCAGTGGGCTGAGATGAAGCCTGGCCTTAGGCAAACAGCTTAAATTTGACTCTTTCTTTGCAGCTATATTTGCATTTGAATCGTCTCCTCTCCGTTTTCTTTCCCCTGCAGAAGCCCGAGCACTGCCTGGGTCAGCCGCCCTGAGCACAGTTCAGCTCACACGCAGAGGGCTGTTTTGTTTTTTCTCCTTACTGGCCGTGTGTGTCCAGGTAATGCCGAAGGAGCAACCCAGAAGAAGGGGAGTTATCGGTGGTGATACTCCAGATGGAATCACCAGCAGCTGGGTCTGCGTCTCAGCAGCAGCCGGGCGCAGGGAGAAGAGGCAGCGGAAGATCTGGTGGAGCTGCAGGAGCATCCCCACCCACCCCTGCCCCAAAGCAGGCAGGGTTTTTTCAGGACTGACTGGATGGAAGGCGCTCAGGAAGCACAAATGCGGAGTCCTCGGCTGCCCCTGCTGGCAGGGGTCTCGCAGGATGGGCTGGGAAGGGCAGCGGGGCTGTGCTGGTGAGCCCCGAGCCTGCTCCTGGCAAAGGACTTGCTGCCTCCTTTCTGCAGGATTCAATGGAAGGAGGAGGAGGACTGAATACTTGGAGGATTAGAGGGAACTTTTGTAGGCAAGAATGCTGTATTTTTTTGCGCCTGAATTCCCTTGGAGGCAACAGCTTTGCTCACTTCATTTTCTTGTCTTTGTCTTGCAAGCTACAGGGCTTTGAGATCTAAGTTTCAAAACCAAATCAAATTGAGCTATCTTCCTGTACGAGCTGCCTGACTGCTCCCGGCCAGCCTAAAAATAACAGCCCCTGTGTGTCTGCGGGGACTCTGTGAGCTGGGTCTGCAAAGCCAGCCAGGCCACTGCACGTACTTAAAGCTGCGAACATGGCTAATTTTGTAATGGTCTGCCATACACTGCTGGGCTTGTGCAATCTGTAGCCGATAAGCGTTCAGTTGCAATTATCTCAAATAATAGGAAAACAAAGACAGTCTTTTTTCTTGAGCAACAGACGAGTTATTTTGAAAGCAGAGCCCTTGTGGGAAGCGGCAGGGCTTAGGGCTGGTGTTTACCGTGTGCAGGAAACACTGGGAAACTTCTTACAGGAAAACTGGAGATCCCAAATCATTAACTCTGAGCAGCCTTAACAAATACTGTTTGAAGCAATATCTGGAGGAAACATTGCTAGAACAGAGTCCAGGGTTTGGCTCTAGTTTCACAGTGCCGCAAGCACAGCACCCTAACAGCTGGGCTGAGGCACAGCCTGGCGCTGGGGAGCTGTCCCTTGTGGCCTTCCTACAGATCCCCCTGGGGAGCCACGGGCATCTTCACGGCTTTCCTGTGCGTAACCCACGTAAACTTGATTTTTTTCTGATTTTGCAGAGCCTCGGGAAGCAGTCTGCACGTCCTCTCAGGTTGAAAAGCTGGCTCAGCTGTTTTTAAATCAGGTTTAAGTGGTTTTCTAAATGTTTTGCAGCCATCGCGTCCCTGCTAGAACAAGCTGTCCTGGCAGGTGATTGCCTGGCCTGGTTTTGTGTCCTAGGGGAGCCGGGTACTGGGCGTTAACCTGCCTGCAGCTTCATTTTCGGTGGGTTCCTGGGGGTGCCGGGGAATGGTGCGAGCTGTGAGGAGGGGCATGGGCACAAGGCCTCCTCCTCGTCCGGCAGGGCAGCACCAGGCCATGGCCACGTCCTCTTCTGGAGCCTGAGATGCCGCAGGAGGACCCCTTGTTCCTGCCAGAGGGGGGCCAGCACCGCGTGCCCAGCTCAGGTGGGGGCTGGCTTTCCTCCGGGCCACCCCGGGGTAAAAGCAGCTTCTGTTCGTAATGTGGTGGGGAGGAGGGGGCCGGCAGCGCTGCCAAAAACCGCTGCTTTCTGCCAGGCGAGCGGGTAAACGGCAAAGTCGGGCAGAGGGATGTTCATGTCCCAGAGCCCGGGCTTTTTGGGGCTGGCTTTCTGCATCTGGTGCCAGCGGGAATCCGAATTCCCTGCTCTGACACCGCTTGTTAGGAGTTAACGAAGAGATGTGCTCACAGCTTTAAACTCTGCTCTATAAAGTGTACCGAGCGTGTGTCTCGTGATGTGCTCTCCAGCTTGTCTGGGCTGGCAGAAAGCGAGGCTGATTCCTTGCAGATGAGAGGAAGGAGGGTGGTGCCCTTGCAGCCGTGGCTGAAACCCTCCGCTGCTCCTGCACAAAAGCTTCCTCATGCTCAGTCCCCAGAGGACTTTCAGGCCCTGTGTTACCCTCGCAGTTAGCCTCCTCTTCTCCCTCTCCTCGCCCTTTTGAAGCAGAGGCTTTGTTCTTCGTAGGTGAAAAGGACAGAAAGAGCCAGCAAAGAGCTGGACGTGGTGCAGCTCCATGAGCCTCTCCCTGGAGCTCTTGCATACAGGGGTGGGAAGAGAGACCCCGGTGTCACAGCCGGCAGTGGGGGACATCGCTCTGTGCCCGTGTGTCCCCAGGCACCCCACAGCAGGGACGTGCAGCTCAGCACAGCACAGCGTGCAGGTGGCTGGTCCTGGCGTGCTCTCGGCACTTGTGGCAGAACCGGGGCCTAATCCACGTCGGCAAAGCAGGTCAGGGGTCTGGCGAGAGACCTTTGTGGGACTTTATGAGCTCCTGTGGCTCCTTTGGGACCGGCACACCCTGCAGAGCCAGCCCTTGTCACCACGCTGAGATGCCTCGGGCTGCCCTGTTCCAGACAGGTGGTTCCTTCGCCAGTTATTAGCCTTCAGATTTTTTTTTTCCCTTGATTCTTTTGATTAAATGCTATTGTTGGTAGCACCTGCCCTAATGCCGTACTGCTAAAAACACCTTCTTCTGTCTCTTCTTTGGTAGATCTCCGAAGCTGGGAAGGAGTCCTTGCCCTCTTGGTTGCACTGGAATGCAGAGAGCAGCTCCCTGGAAGGGCTGCCCCTCGACACGGATAAGGGCGTCCACTACATCTCGGTGGCCACGCTGCAGCCCTTCCCCAACGGGAGCTACGTGCCGCAGACCACAAACGTCTTCTCCGTTGAGGTCCACCAAGAAGACCACAACGAGCCTCAGTCGGTGCGAGTGGCGGCCCAAGACACGGGCGAGGCAGCGCCCTTCGTGTGTGGCGCAGAAGAGCCGGTGACCGTCCTGACCGTCATTTTGGACGCCGACTTAACAAAAATGACACCAAAGCAGAGGATCGAACTTCTCAACAGAATGAGAAGCTTCTCGGAGGTGGAGCTTCACAACATGAAGTTGGTTCCTGTTGTAAATAACAAACTCTTTGACATGTCAGCCTTCATGGCTGGCCCGGGAAATGCGAAGAAGGTGGTGGAAAACGGGGCCTTACTCTCGTGGAAGCTGGGATGCTCTCTGAGCCAAAACAGCGTGCCCAACATCAGCAAGGTGGAGGCTCCGGCTAAGGAAGGCACGATGTCTGCCCGCCTCGGCTACCCCGTCGTCGGCTGGCACATCGCCAACAAGAAACCTCACCTCCCCAAGAGGATGCGGCGGCAGATCAACGCCACCCCCACGCCTCTCACTGCCGTCGGGCCGCCCACCACCGCCGCGCAAGAGCCCCCGACGAGGATCGTCCCCACCCCGACGTCGCCTGCCATAGCACCCCCCACGGAGACGACGGCACCCCCCGTCAGGGAGCCCATCCCGCTGCCGAGGAAGCCCACGGTCACCATCAGAACAAGGGGCCCCATCGTCCAGACACCCACGCTGGGACCAATCCAGCCCACCAGGGTGATAGAAGGCACGGGTACGGCCTCCGTGCCGATTCGCCCCACGATGCCTGGCTACGTAGAGCCCACCGCGGTGATCACGCCGCCCACGACCACCACCAAGAAGCCCAGAGTCTCCACTGTGAAGCCCGCCACGCCATCCACGACCGATTCCTCCACGGTGACGACGCGCAGGCCTACTCGAAGGCCCAAAACGCCCCGTCCGACGAAGCCTCCCAGCACCACCAGATCCCCGATCTCCAAGCTGACCACCGCCTCCCCGCCGAGCCGCGTACGCACCACAGCCAGCGGCATCCCCCGGCCCTGGGAGCCCAACGAGCCACCCAAGCTGACCAACCACATCGACAGGGTTGACGCGTGGGAGGGCACTTACTTTGAGGTTAAAATACCCTCAGATACCTTTTACGATAAGGAAGACACCACCACTGACAAGCTGCAGCTGACCTTGAAGCTGAAGGAGCAGCAGATGTTGGAGGAGAATTCGTGGGTCCAGTTCAACAGCACAAGCCAGCTCATGTACGGCATGCCAGACCACAACCACATCGGGAAGCACGAGTATTTCATGTATGCCACAGACAAAGGCGGGCTCTTTGCCGTGGATGCCTTTGAAATCCACGTCCATAAACGCCCGCATGGGGACAAGTCTCCAGTGAAGTTCAAGGCCAGGTTGGAAGGAGACCACAACGCGGTGGTGAATGACATCAACAAGAAGATCCTGCTGGTGAAGAAGCTGGCTCTGGCGTTCGGCGACAGGAACAGCAGCACCATCACGGTGCAGGACATTGCCAAAGGCTCCATCGTGGTGGAATGGACGAACAACACGCTGCCTGTCGAGCCCTGCCCCCGGGAGCAGATCCGGACTTTGAGCAAAAAGATTGCAGACGACTCAGGGGGGGCCGAGCCTGGCTTTCTCCAACATCTTACAGCCCGAGTTCAAGCCTCTGAACGTGTCGGTGGTCGGCTCCGGCAGCTGCAGGCACATCCAGTTTATCCCCGTGACGAAGGACGGCCGGGTGATCTCGGAGGCAACGCCAACGCTGGCGGCCGGCAAAGACCCGGAGAAGAGCAGCGAGGATGACGTGTACCTGCACACCGTCATCCCCGCCGTGGTGGTGGCCGCCATCCTCCTGGTGGCCGGCATCATCGCCATGATCTGCTACCGCAAGAAGAGGAAAGGCAAGCTCACCATCGAAGACCAGGCCACCTTCATCAAGAAGGGCGTGCCCATCATCTTCGCCGATGAGCTGGACGACTCCAAGCCTCCGCCGTCAGTCCAGCATGCCCCTCATCCTCCAGGAGGAGAAAGCCCCGCTGCCCCCCCCGGAGTACCCGAACCAGAGCATGCCGGAGACCACGCCGCTCAACCAGGACACCATCGGGGAGTACACGCCGCTGCGGGACGAGGACCCCAACGCGCCGCCCTACCAGCCGCCCCCCCCCTTCACCGCGCCCATGGAGGGGAAGGGCTCCCGCCCGAAGAACATGACCCCCTACCGCTCCCCGCCGCCCTACGTCCCCCCTTAACGAACCGGACACCATCGGGGGAGAAGGGGCCTCCGGTCCCACACCGGTGCTGTCTGTGGGCCGGCAGCCCCCTCGCCAGCCGGGAAGCCCAAATCCCAGCCCGCTCCCGAGCAGGCCCCCTCCGGCTGCGCCCGCCACACCAGAGTGCTCGTGGAACCTGGGGGACACTTGTTTTATTTTTGCCTAACAAGCTTTGGTTTTATTTTATTCCTAGAGAAATTCTCGGCTCAAAATCCGTCTTTCTGGCGCCGGGGTCCGGATGCGGCCGGGGCCGGCGCAGAGGGCAGGGAGGGGGGGACGAGCAGGCAGCACTGGGGTGGCACTCTGGGTCTCCGCTGTTTGCCTTTAACACTAACTGTACTGTTTTTTCTATTCACGTGTGTCTAGCTACAGGACGTAACATGAAAGGTAGCCTAAAAATAATTAAATTCAAGGGACTTTCTGAAGTTGACGTTTTAAGTTTTTACAGTTAATCTACTGTTTACCTAAACTCCTATCTATATAGTTTTGGGGGCTGGGGAGGGAAGCGCTATGCTACAAATAAGCTCCGGGGGTGTTCCAGGCCTAGGGAGAGGGGGGGCCTAGAGGCCAGCCAGCCCTGTCGCTAGGGGGAGATCAGGTTTCTTGGTTTGTTTGTTTTTGTTTTGTTGTTTTTACTTTATTTTTTAATCAAAGAAATCCTATTTTTCTCACGCATCATGGAATAGCCACCAGTCGAGTCAGAGCAGCCGGGGTGCCGTAGGCACGGGGCTGCTGCCTACGGGGGGGCTCCAGCAAGGAGCCCGTGCGAGGGTGGGTGCCGGGGCTGAGGGGGCTTTTGTAAGGAAAAAAAGCTCTCCGTGGGGCGTTTTGGGGACAGAGGGGGGTTTCCGTAGCACACTGCCATCTCTCCACCGGGATTCCTCTCCATCAGGGTGACCCTGGGGGGGCCGCCCTGGCTGCCCGGCCACGCGGCCGTGGGCACAGCCCCGCGGCTCCTGGAAAAGTTTAACGAGGAGATTTTAAAAAAAAAAAAAAAAGGAAAAAAAAAAAAAAGGATAGCGAATAGTCAAACAATCAGTGAACTCTCAAATCTAATTTTTTTACTAAATTTTTGATACAGCCTCGAATCGTTTTATTAAAAAATATCTATAAATATAATTAAAAATCGGTAACGCTGACAGCACTTTGTACGGGCTCAGCTTCTTCGTTGCCAGCTCGCGGCCTCCGTCCTCCTGGCCTCTGTCCTGGGGGCTGCCTCCTGCCCTCCCGGCGGGCTCCGTTTGGGCACAAACACAGCTTTTTTACCATTTTCCCCACCGCTGCAGCCCCGAGGCGGGGCGAGGAGCCGGCTGCGCTCCCGGGGGGACCCCGAGACACCGCGGGGGGACGGAAGGAGGCGGCCGGGGCGCGCTCCCGCTGCCCCCCCCCCACCCCCCCCATATCGCAGCCCATGCGCGCCACCGCGGGGGGGGGGCGGCGTGAAGGGCGCGTCGGGAGCGCGCCCGGTTCGGTGTCTCCCCCTGGCGGCCGCGCGCCCCGTGCCGGGCTCCGCCATGTCGGGAGCGGCGGGGCCGGGCCGCGCCCCGCTGCCCTGCGCCCCCCGCGCCCCCGCCGCGCTGCAGCTGCCCGGGGGGGCCGAGGCGGCTCGGCCCGGGGTGGCCGTCATCGACCTGCGCTTCCCTCGGGGAGGCGCCGCCGATGTGAGTGCGGGGCCGGGCGGGGAGGGTGGCGGTGCGCGGTACCCGGTGCGCGGTGCCCGGTGCGCAATGCCCGGTGCGCGGTGCCCGGTGCGCGGTGCCCGGTGCCGTGACGCGCGGCGCTCCCCGCAGGTGCAGGAGATCGTCTTCAAGAACTTCTACACCGCCTTCCTCAGCCTGCGGGTGCAGCGGGCCGGCCCCCCCGGGCCCCGCAGGTGGGTCACCTGCCTCCGCGACCACCGCCTGATGCCCAGCCCGCACACCGAGGAGGGCTCCCAGGATTACTTCTCGCTCCGCCGGCACCAGGTCCCGCTCCCCGGACCCCCCTCCCCCAGCCCCCCTGTGTCCCCCCCCCCCCAGCCCCTGACGGCCCCCTGTCCCCGCAGATGCTGTGTGACATGGAGCAGGTGACGGCGCTGCGCTTCATCCTGCGGCAGCCCTCCCCGGCCTGGCTGCACTTCAGCATCGAGGAGCTGCAGGTGTTCCCCCCAGCACAGAAGGTGACCCCCCCCCGGCACACGGGGGTCCCCCGGGATGCCTGGGGACCGTGCCCTGGGGTGGGCAGGCATGCAGGGGCTGTGCCCCTTTACTTACACCCATAAACACTGGGGAGGGGGCAAAGCGTGGCGTGAGGGGTGGGTGGGGAGCACCGCGGTGTGACCCTTTGGATCGGAGTGACCCTTTGGATCTGTCGCAGAGCCCCCAGCAGGATTTCCCCTCCTGGCTCTCCCAGCTGACCCCCCCGGAGCAGCCGGCCAGCCCGCACAGGGTGAGTGGTGTCAGCGCGGCAGCAAGCACCCACCAGGGAGCAGGCACCTGGGGTGGGCAGGGGGCTGCCGGAGGGCAAAGCCCCCCCGAGGCTGCTCCGCTTCAAGGCACGCGGTGGCAGGGCAGGAGGCAAATGCATGCTGTGGGGTTTTGCCACCCGTGGCATCGGCCAAGCCCTTTGTCTTCAAGGCACTCAGCACCTGAGCAGGGGCTGGGAACTGACGCGGGGCTGCCAGCCGTAGCCAACCCAGCCCTGACGGCCTCCTACCCGGAGCAGCCTGCTTGAGCTGTGAATTTGGCTGAAATTTTGGTGTTCTGACTTGAACTGGTCCGTAACTCCCAAGCCCGGAGGACCGGGCTGCCTGTGGGGGGCTCAGCGGCTGGGGGCTGTGTGCGCCTCTGGGCGGGCTGCAGCAGGGTGGCAGAGCACCGAGACAGGCAGTGCTGCAGCACACGGCAGCACAGGGATGCTCAGAGCTCAGGACAGGGGTGGGTGATACTCCCATCCCAGGAGGAGATCCCAAATCCTGGCACCACCTCCACCGAGAGGCTGCCAGCTCTGTCCCAGCCCATCGCCAGCTCCAGGGCCCAGCCAGGAGCCATTTGGGTGCTCCAAAGTGCCCGGCGAGCCTGGTGCTGGGAGCAGCTCGCAGAGTTCAGAAGGAAAAGAAAGAAAAAAAAAAACACCAGGACACGTGATCAGAGACGTTAAATCCAGCCAGGGATGAGAGCATCCCGCTGGGACTGGCAGGCACACAGCATCACTTGGTGGGGCACTGGGGGACAGGAGGAGCCCCGTGGGTCCCCAGCGGTGGCAGGGGGAGCGTGGCACTGCCCAGCCGTGACGGCATCGGGGAGGCAACACCCCCGGGGGTGGCCCTGAGCGAGCAAAGTCCCAGGAGAGCAGGGGCACATGCCCGGCAGTGACCTGCTGTGACGGGTGCTGGAGTTGTGCCAAGGAGGGGCTGGGTCCCTCGGTTTGTCCCCGCTGTGTGCCCCCTCCAGGCACTGGGGTTGGCACCGCTGGGCCCCAGGAGCGGCTCCAAACCCCGTGGCCGAGCTTGTGAGGCCCAAAGGCTGAAACTCTGGACTGTGCGATTATGTCTTTAATTATTAGCTAATGAGCCAGATTACGTCCTTGCTCTGGATGTCTGCCAGAGGGGACAGGTCACGCTCTCGCTGTGCCAGGCTCGGGGTCACCTTGTTCCCAGCTGCTGCTTTCCTACGCTGGGGCCCCCTCTCCCCGCCTTGGCAAACCGGTGCCGGGCGATGGTGCCCCACAGCATCGCTCCTGCTTCTCCGCAGGAGCTCCCCGACCCGGAGAAGGTGTCGACGGAGGTGCAGCAAATGTGGGTGCTGACGGAGGTGATCCGGGCTCGCCAGGCGGCCGCCCGCATCGGCCGCTTCGACGTGAGTGCCCCCAGCGCCCCGCTCGTAACGGGGGGGACTGCGGGCACCCACGGCAGCTCTCTCCCTTGCAGGTGGACGGCTGCTACGATGTCAACCTCCTCTCCTACAGCTGAGCCTCGACGGGACCCGGCGTGGACCCTGCCGTGCCCGAGAGCCCCCCCGGGGGGTTTGGCCCCTCGCCTTCCTCGCCCTTCGCTCCGCGGCCGCAGGGGGGGGGGGGGAAGAGCCCCGGATAAACGCTGCTGTGGCGCTGCCGCTGTGCCTCGTCTCTGGGTCTGGGGGCGGTGCTGGGGGCGGGCCGCATGTCCCAGGAGCCCCGGCGGGGCGGGCAGAGCCGTGCTGGGCCGAGCCGGGGCGGGTCGGGCCGGAGCGGGACCGGAGGATGCTGCGGGTCGGGGTCTGCGCCGCGCTCTGCCGGGGCCGCCCGGGCTCGGCGGCGCTGAGCGGGGCCGGGGTCGGGGCCGAGCCGGGCCGGGCCGAGCCGGGGGGGCTGAAACGGACGCCGCTGGACGCCCTGCACCGGGCCCGGGGCGGCAGGATGGTGCCGTTCGCCGGCTGGAGCCTGCCCGTGCAGTACGGCCGCGGGCACCTCGAGTCCCACCTGCACACCCGCAGCCACTGCTCCCTCTTCGACGTGTCCCACATGCTGCAGGTAGCGGGAGGAAGGGGGGGGGGAGACAGCGGGGAGGGGGTCCCTCTGCCGCCCCCCGCACCCTATCTCACCCCCCCCGGCCCCCTCCAGACGCGGGTGTACGGCCGGGACCGCGTCAAGTTCCTGGAGAGCCTGGTGGTGGGGGACATCGCCGAGCTGAAGCCGGGCCAGGTACAGGGCCAGGAGCGCCACGTGCCCGGGGGGGGGACGTGGGGGCGAGGGGCACCTGGCACCCAGCCCGGCAGGGGCAGAGGGCCCCCATGGTGCCGCCTGGTGCGGGGCCAGGCGCCCTGCCCGCGCTCCCTAGGGTGCCGTCCCGCAGGGCACGCTGACGCTGCTCACCAACGAGCGGGGTGGCATCGTGGACGACCTCATTGTCACCAACACGGCAGAGGAGCACCTCTACGTGGTGTCCAACGCGGGCTGTGCCGACAAGGACTTGGCCATCATGAAGGTACGGGGGGAGCACCCTCCCCGTGGTTCAGGTGGCCACGCGTGGGGCTGGCTGCAGGCCGTCCCCGTGCCACCAGCCCGCTGTCACCCTTGCAGGGCAGAGCGGCGGAGCTGCGCGCTGCCGGCAGTGACGTGCACCTGGAGGTGTCAGACAACGCGCTGCTGGCTCTGCAAGGTAGCAGGGCCCCCACGAGGGCTGGCACCAGGCATCGCCGCAGGGGGGTCTCACCCTGGGACCCGCCGTCCTGTGGGGCTCTCAGACGGCCCTGCCTTCTCCGCCTGGCTCCCCTCCCCGTGTCCCACCTCGCCCAGGCGCTGTCCCTTCTTCAAAGCCACCTGTCCCCCCAGGCCCCTCCATGGCGCAGGTGCTGCAGGCAGGGCTGTCGGACGACCTGGCCAAGCTGTCCTTCATGACCAGCATCACCACGACCGTCTTCGGCGTGCCGGGCTGCCGGGTCACGCGCTGCGGCTACACGGGCGAGGACGGCGTGGAGGTAGCGGGGACACCCCGAGGAGGCTGGTCCCGGTGGGACGCCGTGCCCCGCTGACCCTGCCCCTGCCGTCCCCGTCCCTGTCCCCATCCCGTGCAGATCTCGGTGCCCGCGGGGCAGGCGGTGGAGCTGGCCGAGCGGCTGCTGGGCGTCCCCGAGGTGTGGCCGGCGGGGCTGGCAGCCAGGGACAGCCTGCGCCTGGAGGCCGGGCTCTGCCTGTATGGGAACGACATCGATGAGACCACCACGCCAGCCGAAGCTGGGCTGATGTGGACCTTGGGTAGGTCCAGGCCATGTCCATCACCACCTCCTCCAACCCAACCGCCCCACAGGCATCGCCAGGCACTGCAAAGCATGGGGAAGCCCGCACACTGACCCTCGCCCCTCTCCGTCCCGCAGGCAAGCGCCGGCGTGCGGCCATGGACTTCCCTGGCGCAGCCATCATCATGGCACAAGCCAAGGAGAAGCCGAAGCGGAGGCGCGTGGGGCTGACCTCGGTGGGGCCGCCCGTTCGGCCACACGCAGTCATCCTGGACCCCGAGGGCAGGCCTGTGGGTACGTGGGGGTGGCGCTGGGGGGATCGCTGGGGGGTGTCTGTGACCGGCAGCCCCCGCTCACCTTCCCGTGGTGTCCCCAGGCACGGTGACCAGCGGGTGCCCCTCGCCCTCCCTGGGCAAGAACATCGCCATGGGGTACGTGGAGGCCGCGCACAGCCGCCCGGGCACCGCGCTCGCCGTGGAGGTGAGGAAGAAGCAGCACCCGGCGCTGGTCACCAAGATGCCCTTTGTGCCCACCCACTACTACGTGGCCAAGTGAGGCCCGGCCCCATTAAACCCCGCTGCCTCACAACGCTGGCCTCGTCTCGTGGTGAATCCCAAAGCAGGGGCAGCGGGGCGGGGGGCACAGAGCTTTAATGGTGCGGGCAGCCTCGGGCACGGCGGGCGCTGCTCACTCGCGGTGCGTCTTCCCCGGCTCAGCTGGAGGGCCCTCCCTGCGGAGAGGGGCAGCGTGAGCAGGGGGGGCACCTGCTGGGACACAGGGGGCTGGAGGGGGCACGTACAGGGTCATACTGGGCTGGGGGATGCTCAGGGGGTGCCGGGAGGGGGCATGGCCTTGGGGACACACACGGGGGTTCACTGGTATGGGGATGGGGGGGCATGTACTGGGGTGTACTGGGATGGGGTGCAGCTTAGGGGGACACACGGAAGGTCCACTGGTCTGGGGACATGAGGACATGGGGGCCATTTACTGGGGTGTACTGGGATGGGGGCATAGCCCAGGGGGACACACAAGGGGTTCACTGGTCTGTGGATGAGGAGGCATGTACTGGGGTGTACTGGGATGAGGGCATAGCACAGGGGGACACATGAGGGGTTCACTGGTCTGGGGGTGGTGGGGCCACGCACTGGGATGGGGGCATAGCCCAGGGGGACACAGGGGAGGTTCACTGGTCTGGGGATGGAGGAGCATGTACTGGGGTGTACTGGGATGGGGGTATAGCCTAGGGGGACACACAAGGGGTTTCACTGGTCTGGGCCAGTGGGGACCATGCACTGGGATGGGGGCACAGCACAGGGGGACACACGGTGGGTCCACTGGTCTGGGGACATGGGAGCCATGTACTGGGCTATACTGGGATGCCCGGCGGCCACACTGCTCTGGGGACACGGGAGGGGACGGGGGGGGCATGCACGGGACATGCAGTGCTGGGGGCGCAGGGGGGGGTCTCTCACTCACCGGGGCGGGCAGTGCCGCTCAGCGGCGCCGTTGCGGCCGGCGGGGGACAGGGAGTGGGCGCGGGGCCGGGCGCTGCCGGTGGCGATGCCGGTGCCGGGGGGGGGGCCGGCGGGCGGCCGGGCGGTAGCAGAGAGCGGCCACGGCCCCCCCGTAGGCCCTCCAGGCCAGGCGGATCCCCAGCAGGCTGAGCCCGAGCCAGAGCAGCAGCAGCTGGCACAGCGCTGCCCGCACGTCCTGCGCCGCCCACTCGGCCGCCAGCTCCCGGCCCAGCGCTCCCAGCGCCTTCCACGGCGCCTCCCAGCCGCCCGCCGCCATCGTCCCGGCCTCCTCCTCCTCCCCCTTCCTCCTCCTCCTCCTCCTCCCCCTTCCTCCTCCTCCTCCTCCTCCTCCCCCTGCGCAACCGTCCCGGGGCGGTGCCGGGGCCGGGCGCATGGCGGGGGCGCGCTACTCGCGGCAGCAGTGGGTGCCGGGGGGGGGGGCACCGGGGAAAACGGGGGGCAGCCGGCCCCGGGACCCGATCCCGTGCCCCCCCCCGTGCTGAGCGGTGTCCCCCCCTCCCCTCCCCTTCCCCAGGTACGTGCTGGGCGGTGGCAGCGGGGACCGGCTGCGGGCGGCGGCCGTGCTGGTGTCGGGGCTGCGCGGGGCCGGAGCGCAGGTGGCGGCGGCGCTGGTGCTGGCGGGGACCGGGAGGGTCGTGCTCAGGGACCCCCGGGGGGATGGCACCGCAGGATGCGCACGGCAGGTACCGAGGGGCACGGGGAGGGCATGGGGAGGGGGGGTGGGTGTGGGTGTGGGCGGGGGGCTCGGTAAGGGCTGTAGGGGTGCAGGTGGGGGTCCTGATATGGGGTACGGGCATGGGTTGGTGTCCTGGTAATGGGTTTGGGTACGGGGAGGGTCCCAGTGAGGTGTGCAGGTACAGGCGGGTGTCCCAGCAATGCCTACAGGTGTCAGCAGGGGTCCCAGTAATGAGTCTGGGCACCAGTGAGGGTCCTGGTAATGGGTGCAGGCACGGGTGTGGGCCCTAGTGCTGGGTACAGACATTGGCAGGGGTCCCCGTAATGGGCACGGGCTGGGGCCCCATGCACGGGTTTGGGCGGTGTCTCCTAAGGGGCATAGGGCAGGGGAGTGGGTAGGTGACTGGTGCAGGTATTGTTGTAATGGGACCTGGTAAAAGCACTGGGTGTGGGTACAGGCAGTGGAGGAGATCCCAGTAATGGATGGGGGCTCACGGGAACGGTGTTGGTACCGCCGGGGGATCCCTCTCCCAGGTCAGGGGTCCCAGTAAGGGGTGCAGGAGGCGGGGAGGGACCTGTTGTGGGCAGAGAGCCCCCAGCAGCGTGGGCAGCACCCCAAACCTGCGGGGGTGCCCGCTGCCGCCCGCCCCGCAGTTCCTCCTGCAGGAGAGCGATGTGGGCCAGGACCACGTCCAGGCGTCGCAGCGGCGGCTGGCCGAGCTGAACCCCGACGTGGAGGTGGCGGTCAGCACCGAGGAGCTGTCGGAGGATTTCCTCGAAGCCTTCCAGGTGAGCCTGGCACCCCGGCCAGGGGACGCCCCGGGGTGCTGGCACCTGCTGACCACCCTGGTGCAGGTGGTCGTGCTGACCGAGTCGCCGCTGGAGGAGCAGCTCCGTGTCGGGGACATCTGCCACGCCAAGGGCATCTGCTTCATCGTGGCTGACGCCAAGGGGCTGGCCGGGTAAGGGCGGGGGGCAGTGGCTGGGGAGGGACCTCGGCACCGTGTGGCGGCCACCTGGAGGGGCAGGGTGCGGCGGCTGGGGGCTGTGCCCCCCCGGGATGTTGTGCCGCAGCGAGGACCTTGTGATGCTCCACCACACTTGCAGCGTGGGCTTTGTCCCCGTGTCTAGCAGGGATTTCCCATGTCCAAAGCGTTGCTGCCCCGGGCACCTCCTGTCCCCTCTGAGTCCCTGTCCTGCTGGTGAGGCAGGACCCAGCAGCACTCTTGGAGCTCCTCGAGGCTCCCGCTTAACGAAGCCACCCCCTGTCCCTGCCCAGGCAGCTCTTCTGTGACTTCGGGGAGTGTTTTGTTGTTGATGACCCTGCAGAAGGGGACCCGCTCTATGCCACCGTGCAGCACATCTCCCAGGTAGGAGGCTCCGTGCCACCCCCCTGCTCCCCAGCACGGTGCCCCTGCAGCTTCACAGCTTTCCCTGGGACACTTCAGTGGCTTGGTGTTGCCTCCATCGGGTTCCTTGTGCTCACCTCTCCCCCTGCTCAGGGCAACCCGGGGATCGTGACGTGTGCGAGGGCAGAGGAGGGACGCGGCCACCGTTTCAGTGACGGCGACCTGGTGACATTTTCTGGCCTGGAGGGCATGACGGAGCTGAATGGCTGCAAGCCCCGCACCGTGCGTGTGCTGGGTGAGTGCCTGCCCGCCTCGGGGGGCTGCAGCGGGTCCCCGGCGGTGACCATGCTGCCCATCCCCTCCTCTCCATCCCAGATACCTTCAGCCTGGAGATCGGTGACACGAGAGCCTTCTCACCCTACCGCTGCGGGGGGCAGGTCTTGCAGGTGCGATTGAACCAGGAGCACTTACATGTATGTGTCCCCCCCTGCCCCTCCGTGCTGCCCCCTGGGTGGCAGGGAACCTACAAGTGGTTCCATGCCCCCAAAAAGCTCCCGTCCCCACAATCCCTGCATGGTGCTGGCAGAAGTCCCTGCGCCAGGCACTGGCGATGCCCGAGATCCCAGTGAGGAGCCCTGCGGAGCTGCAGCGCAGCCGCAGCCTGCACACCGCCTTCCGGGCCCTGCACGCCTTCCGCGAGGAGCGGGGCCGCCTGCCCCAGCCCCGGGACCCAGTGAGTCCCCGTCCTGACCCTTCCCAGCCCCTCTGGCCCTCCTGCCCCTCTCCGGGGCTGCCCTCGACCCTCTTCCCCCAGGCGGACGCCGAGCGGGTGCTGGAGCTGGCACGGAGCCTGGGCGCACTGCTGGGTCCCCTGGACGAGGATGTCGTGCGGGCGTTCGCCAGCGTGAGCGCGGGGGACCTGTGCCCCGTGGCGTCCTTCATCGGCGCCCTGGCTGCCCAGGAGGCTCTGAAGGTGAGCAGCTGGGGACAGGGACCCACTGTGGGGTCCCACACGCGGCAGGCCGGTGGCACGGCTCGGCACGGCTTGGCACGGCTGTCCCGTGGTGCTCGGTGGCCACGAGAGGGCACCTGCTGCCTGCCTGGGGACACCGCACTCCGCCGGCTGCAGAGCGAGGCTGGGTGCTCGGCGTGGGGCACGGGGAGCCCCACTGGATGGACACGGAGCTAACGAGGCCCTGCTCACCCCAGGCCATCACAAGGAAGCTCCTGCCCCTGGACCAGTGGTTTTACTTTGACGCCTTGGAGTGCCTGGCCATGGAGGGGGCTGCGGGACTGACGCAGGAGGACTGCGAGCCCGTGAGTCCCCGTGGCCGCTGGGTGCCGGGAGTGCTGCGGTCAGCCCCGTTCACACGGCCCCCCCGTCCCAACAGAGGGGATCCCGCTACGACGGCCAGATCGCCGTGTTTGGGGCCAACTTCCAGGAGGAGCTGGGCCGCCAGAAGTTCTTTGTGGTGAGCAGGGTGTGGGGCCTGGGGGCCGGCGGGGAACCTGAGCGGTGCGCGGAGCTGCAGCGGCGCTGCCCCAGCAGGTGGGGGCCGGTGCCATCGGCTGCGAGCTGCTCAAGAACTTTGCCATGATGGGGCTGGCAGCGGGGCCGGGCGGGGACATCACCGTCACCGACATGGACATGGTGGCAGACTCCAACCTGCACCGGCAGTTCCTCTTCCGCGCGGCGGACGTGTCGGTGAGCTCCCGCTCGTCCCACGGGTGGCCCAGGGCCGGGTGTTCCCCGGGGACCTGGGAGCTGCCCCCCCGCTCTGTGCCCTTGTAGAAGCCGAAAGCAGAGGTGGCCGCCGCGGCCGTGAGGCGCATGAACCCCGCCGTGAAGGTGACGGCTCACCAGAACCACGTGGGGCCCGGCACCGAGCAGCTCTACGGGGACGACTTCTTCCAGCAGCTGGACGGCGTCGTCAGCGCCGTGGACACGCTGGAGGCCCGTGAGTACCGGGGGGCAGAAGGGTCCGAGCCCCCCCCATGTGTCCCCGCACCACCGGGGCACACACGCCGCCCTCGCTGCCTGCAGGCGCCTACTTGGAGAGGCGCTGCAAACGCTCCCGCACGCCGCTGCTGGACTCGGGCACGGAGGGGGCGCGGGGAGACGTGCTGCCCATGGTGCCCCCCCTGACCAAGCCGCTGCAGACGCCCACGGGCTCCACGGATGGGACCTTCCCCCTCTGCACCCTGCGGTACTACCCCAACGCCATCGAGCACACGCTGCAGGTAAGGCCGCAGGTCCCTGCTCCTGCCCTTTTGTTTTCCCTTCCCGTTTCTCCGGCCCTGCAGGCAGGATGCAGCCCCAGCTGTTTCCTGCGGGGAGCCGCCGCGCAGCCCCAGCGCCTTCCTCACGTCCCAGCACCGAGCCCAGCTTGGCCTGGGCCCCGTCCCCACCGGCTGTCCCCGCTGGGCGCTGTCCCATAGCGCTGGCAGCGCGTTGCGGGGCCAGGTCCCCATGTGGCACCCGTTGCTCATCCCCGTCCCCTCTGCGCAGTGGGCTCGCGATGAGTTCGAGGGGCTCTTCCAGCTGCCTGCAGAGAGCGTGAACCAGTTCCTGGAGTGAGTGCGGACCTGGGAGCCGCCAGGGATGGGGACCGGGGCCGGGCAGCTGCGTCCCGTACGCGGCAGCGCTGCAGGCAGGCCAGCGGTGCCTGGTTTTGCAGAGAGCTGCCGGAGGAGCCAGCACAGCGGGAGGGCCTGGAGGTGCCGGAGAGAGTGTGGAGGAGCCTGCAGGAGAGGCCACGGGACTGGGGGGACTGCGTGCGCTGGGCCCGCCGGCACTGGCAGAGCCGCTACCACGATGCCATCGCCCAGCTGCTGCACACCTTCCCCCCCACACACGTGAGCATAACCCCCCGGGGGCTGCCCCCCACCACAGCACCCTCCCCAGAAGCGTCTCCAGGCCTGACTTTGCTTTCCCCGTGCCAGGAAAGCAGCCCCGGTGTCCCATTCTGGTCGGGGGACAGGCGCTGTCCCCATCCGCTGACGTTCGACCCCAGCAATGTGAGTGCAGGGGAGAGCCGTGGGGGTGCAGGGGATGAGGTGGGCTTTGGGGAGAGGCAAGGGGTACGCGCTGGGTGCCGGAGCACAACAAGGGGCAGAGCTGCCGGGGCCACCCCCCCTCCTGCTCGTGGCTCTGCAGGACGCACACGTGGCATACATCGAGGCTGCTGCCCGGCTCTGGGCCCAAATGTACAAGCTCCCAGCGTGCAGCAACCGCGCAGCCACACAGGACATCCTCCGCAGCATGGTGCTG